TTAACAATGTTATGGTAGTTTTAGATGAACAGTGAAGGGACTCAGCCATACATATACAAGAACCCATTCTCCCCCAAACTCCCCTCCCATCCAGGCTGCCACATAACATTGAGCAGAGTTCCATGTGCTATACAATAGGCCCTTGTTGGTTATCCATTTTGAATATCGCAGCATGGACATGACCTTCCCAAAGTCCCTAACTATCCCTTCCCCCCAGCAACCATAAGTTTGTTTTCTGTGAGTCTCTTTCTGTTTTGTAAGTAAGTTCATTTGTATCATTTCTTTTTAGATTCCACATATAAGGGATGTCATGATATTTCTCCTTCTCCATCTGACTTACTTTACTCAGTATGACATTCTCTAGATCCATCCATGTTGCTGTAAATGGCATTGCTTCATTCTTTTAAAGGCTGAGTAATATTCCATTGTATACATGTAGCGCATCTTCTTTATCCATTCCTCTGTTGATGGACATTTAGGTTGCTTCTGTGTCTTGGTTATTGTAAACAGTGCTTCAGTGAACACTGGGGTGCATGTGTCTTTTTGAGCCATGATTTTCTCTGGATATATGCCCAGGAGTGAGACTGCAGGGTCATATGGTGACAGCCAATCCATCTTTGTGCAACAGTTTTTCCCCATGGGCAAAGCAAAGCTTGTCCTTATGCTCCTGACCTTGGAACATGTTCGGAAGTTTTTTGATTCACTCCTCCCACCTGAAAGGTTGCCGTTAGCTTAGGTTCTCTCTTCAGAGGTCAGGTATGACAGAGAAGTTCCAAGGGGCAGTTGCTGAGGATACCCTGTTCTTCTCTTCCTCTCGAAAATGAGAATAAACCTCCCCAGAAATTCACTCCACCAAGGGAATTCTCTGGCCCAGCATAGCCAAAATGGGCAATAAGAAATGTCCATAGCAAGGGCTCAATTAAATCTCGTATCTACAAAGCTGGAAAACAAGAGTGAAGTATCTTGTAAGCTGACCCATCTTCCAATAAGCATATTTCTGAAGATACAGAACTATATAGCAAGGTGCCTTTCCCCTCTTTCTACTGAAGAAAACTTTTTTTGTCCCTTACTTTTATTGCTGTTAATTAAGAGATTATACACTGGTTCAAGTGGAAGCCTGATATAATTAGAATTCTTAGAATAATGTTTTATAACTGTAGATTGTTTAAATGTGAATCTTATCAATTAATTGCTTCCATTTTATTTTATTTCTAGGTAGTATAATTCAGGTATTTTTGTTCTTAACAAGACCACTGAAACCATCCAGAAACACGCAGTAATAATTTTTGATCTTTCTTCTAAAATGAGTTTGAGCTTTTTCTCTTTTGGTTTCATTGCTATCATTTAAGTGTTTATACAGTAACTCCAGTGAAAACCTCACAGGAACATAATTCTTAGGATAATGTTCTATAAATGTGTATTCTGTAAATGTGAATCTCATCAGTAGTTAGCTTTATTTTTGATTTCCAGATAGTATATAGTATTTCCACTGTTACTATCTATTAATAACAAATTTCTTATCTTGATCCAGAAATAGAGCAGTGTTTTGTATCTCTGCTAATTCAGCATTTTCACTCATTTCATTTCAAAGCTGTTAAGTCCTCATATAGTCATTCAAATGGAAGTTTGATCAGAATCTTTTCTTAGGATAGTGTGATGAATGTATTTCATTCGAAAGTAAAACTTCATGAGGGAATTATTAACTTTTATTTCTAGATAAAGAAAGATAGGATTTCAGTTGCTGGTGTCAGAAAATCATTTCCCATAACCTGAACTATGAGAAAAGTTTTACATGAGCAGTCATACCATTGGAGGTATTTGAAATTCAAAGTCTACATCTGCTTTCCATAGCCTGCATTTACCCTGGTTATACGATTAACATATTTACTCAAGTAAATGTTAGTTTACCCTCTGATGGCGCTCACTGTGCATAGTATAAAATCCACAGCCCTCACTGTGGACGGCAAAGCCCTCTGCTGAGCTCCACTCTTCCATTGACCTGTCTCATGCCCACTGAGCTTCGGTCACTCTGTCCTCCCCTAGAGCCTCAACCCACCAAGTCTCTTCCATCTTTTCCTTCATGCTATTCCCTGTCTGCCTGAAATGCTAGCCCCCAACCCCAAAGATGCCTGTCTCCCCTCACTCTTCTGGTCTCAAATATCCATCTTTGAAGAAGCTTTCACTGAGTTCGCAACCAGACTGAGTCCTCTGTTTCATGACATCCTGAGCTTTGTACCTTTTTAATAGTAGCATTATCAGAATGTGCAGTTGTAAAATTACTCATGTGATCATGTTTGAATGTGTGTTTCCATACCTCCGAATCACCCGGGATTAGGTCAGCTTCTGATGCATGTACCGTGTGCAGTGTTTTCCAAGCAACAAAGGGACAGTGCTCCTGGTACTTGGCGGGACACTTTTCCTTGTGCAGGTGTTTTACGTTTGGCTGCAATGACCAAGCATAAAACACAGCCTTCCGGTGCCTAAGGAAGCAAGCGTTTCTTTCTCACTCATGAGTTTGTGGATGAGCTGTCGCCTGCCTGGGCTTGGCAGGGCTTGGGTTTCAGGTCAGCTTCCTTCTCTGAGGCCTGCATGTCATTTGAGGGCCCAGGCAGAAGAAACAGTGGCAACCTAGGCCCAGTCCTCACAGAAGACCACACAAACCTAGGCGGGAGAGGGGAACACAAGCCGCTTCTCAAAGCCTCTGTTCAGAACACATGGTGCCCACTTTTCTGCACATCTTCCACTGATCAGAGGGCCCAAGGTCAGTGTGACAGAGACTCAACTCCATGCAAATGATCTAACATCACCCATGTCCCTCGGGGGCTGTTCCAAAGCCATTCTAGGCACTGGCGCCCCAGACTCCTGCCTTACAATTACTTTTTTTTAGATTTTTATTTATTTTCAGATATACTGGGTCTTCGTTGTGGTGTACAGGCCTCTCACTGTGGTGGCGTCTCTTGGTGCAGAGCCCAGGATCCAGAATGCAGGCTTTGTATGGGTTCAGAATGTGTGGGTTCAGTGGTTGCAGCTCCCAGGCGCTAGACACAGGTTCAGTAGTTGTGGCACAGCACTGAGTTGCCTTCCCAGCCCAGAGATCAAACCCATGTCCCCTGCATTGGCAGGCAGATTCTTAACTAAACCACCAGGGAGGTCCTGGCCTTACAAGCAGGTTCCAGTTAGGAGGCAGCCATGAGCACCCTAGGGGGAGGAACAGTGTGTTCCCAGCATAGTTGTTGGCTTCAGAGTCCCACAGAGTGACAGCAATCGGAGCAGGAGAGGCAGAAGACTTCCTTCAAGGGCCTCAGATCTGTGAGTTTCAGAAGGTCCTGAGCCCACATCAACCCCACAGCATGTCCTTGTAACTCCCTACAGTGCTGCGTGAGTCATCACTTACCTGTCAACCCGTATTTATGGAGGGCCTAAGGGATGCTGGGTGGCGCCGAGGTAAGGTTGCTGTGTTAAGGCGAGCTGCCAGGTGTAGGTCAGGCACTTCCTTTGTAGCTTCCCCTCCTCCCTCCTCCAGCCCACAGAATTTCCTCTGTCGTTTACACTCATCCCATGATTCCCATGCAGTAAGGGATAGTCGGTCATAGCCCAGGCGATGAGCGCAAAAAGCAAATGAAAAAGCAGAATGATTAATGCAAAATCAAGATGTCAAGGATCTGTCACTTGAGAACTACATTCTGCTGCTCAAGATCTCTTCTGAGCCATTTTAATTGGATCAGATTAGTCAAATCCTGAAAGACTTTACCTAGCCATATGCCAAGAGACAGTCCTTACATAGTAGATAGGTAATCAATATATGCAGAATGAGTGTATAAAGCTGTGCAATAAGTGGTATGGAGGGAGTGGTTGCATCAGATGAACCCTAATTAAGAGAGCTATGCCCACACACTGCTAAATGAAATGACAGCTTTATTGCTTGATAACATAATCCTATGGTATACTTCTATTGTTATCCCCCTATAAAAACACAGACAGGATTGAAATGTAACCTTAAAAGCTATGGGAAATCCCAAGGACAAAGGAGCATGGTGGGCTACAGTCTGGGGTTGCAAAGTAGTCAGACACCACTTAGTGACTAAAGAAACACGTAACAATAACCAGGCCCAGCGTGGCATCAGAGGGGACGTGGGCCGCCTAGGATCTAGTGTGGACCTGACCCCTGGTGGTTCCGGTTCTGTTCTTGCCATTGAAACCCACTATCCAGACAGACTTGGCAGGTCACTTAACACCATAGCGCTAGTATTTGAGCTAATCACCTAATTGAGCATTACTCTATTTAATCCTCACAATTTCCTGCTCGTATCAGAGAACAAGAAGTGAGGTTTAGGGAAGCTAGATCATATACCCATTATTTGAGCTGAGTATGTCTGACTTTAGAACTGGTCTATTCTACCTCGCTTCATTCAACAGACCCACTAACCCTCAGGCTTTTGTGAACATCAAAAAGGATGTGTATAAAAAGCACCTTTGGAAACGTTGAAACCGACATCAATTAGTACAACAAATCACCTCAGGACGAACAGAATTTCTTTGGAATTAAACACAAATCATAATATAATTTTTTCAAGGTGTATGATGGACCTGTTACAAGCATTAATTTTTGTAATTATCGCACAAGCCCACAAGGATGGTCCTCCTCTAATTTTTAGATATGAATTACTAATGTTCTGGCTAAAGGCTGTTAAACCAAGTGTGATAAAGCTGCACAAGCGACACGAGGGAGCCGCGGCAGCGTCCAGCTTCCTGTGCATAGATGAGCAGAAAACGGGGAAGCGGGAGGGACTCCCCAGCACCGTCACCGCAAGGGAGGGGAGGCAATGATGCTCCCACAGCACAGGAGTCGTTACTCTGCTCAACAGGGTTGTAGAAACGGCACTGAGTTATCAGAGTTCTCCGAGCGAGCTGCAAAAGAAGCCTCACCCAGGGGCTCCACCGCCAGGGATGGGCTATTCGGCCTCCAGCCCCGAGACGTTTCCTTGCGAGTTTCCGGGGGGATGCGGGAGCGTGGGTGCGTCCCTGACTGGCTCCTGAGCTTTGGGGTGTGTGTGTGTATGCGATCCCTTTCCTCTCTGGGACTGGGATCGCCCCTTACAGTCCAAATGAAAAGATACCACCTTTCCATCTCTTCTACAAACGCTTACTGAGCCCTTATAACTCGCCCATAGACAAAATGCGGCGGCGATACCCGCTAAGACCCAACGCCCGCGAGCGCGCATCTCGCTGTCTCCGGCGAGCGCGGAAGGCAGGGTGCCCGGAACGCCTGTCCGAGACTCGCGGGCTAGCCCCGCAGCCGCGGCGCCCGCCCTGCGCGCGCCCGAGGGCGGCACTGCCCACGCACATGCACACGCACGGGAGCGCCGGGCTCCCGCGTCCCCGGTGCCGCGCCGGCGCCGGCGCCGGGCGCGGGCGGGAGCACGGGAGTCCGAGCGGGAGGCGGGAACGGCAGGCGGGGCGGGTGCCCGCGAGCGGCGCTCGTGCATTCGCTCCTCCGCTCCTAAGCCCCGCCCCGGCCCCGCCCACTCTCTTCTCCCGCGCGCGGGCTCCGCGCGCCCCAACCCGCGCGCGTGCGCGCGCGTGCGCAGGCCAGGGCCCTCCGGGGGCGGCCCCGTAGACTCCAACGAAAGCGTCGCAAGGTCCCGGATTAACCCTTTCCCCGCTCGCCCATTTAGAGGCCCGGTCGGGTTCCGTGCCTGCGCAAGCCGGCGGCGCGCCTTCCCCCTGGCCCGCACCGCGCATGCACGGGAAGGGGGGGGTGCCGGTGGGGGTGTTCGCGGCCGGCTAGACATTCTGTGCCCGTGCAGGAGGAGGGCTGCTACCATCAGGGACGTGCACGATTTCCCCCCCACCCCGCCCCCTCCCCAAACTCCAAAAAAAAAAAAAAATCCAAAACACACTGCCACCCACCGTGCCCCCGCGCCCCGCGTCCATCCCGTCCCCGGCCTGCGTGCAGCGAGGGCGGGGAGCCCACGGCGAGTGTCTGTGGCTGTGCCAGGCTGCAGGTAAGCGCGGGCCGGGGGTGCGGAAGGGGCCCGGGCCGGCCGCGAGGCGGGCGCGGGGGCGGCGGGCGCGGCGGGGCTGCCCGGAAGAAGCGCGTTCTCGCCGCGCTCGGGGGCACCCGTCAGCTCCAGGAGGTGCGGGCGGCCCCGGTGGCGCGGCTCGAGCGGGGCCGGGCGTGGGGCCGGGGCGCTCCGGGGGCCGCGCAGGCCGGCGAGCAGGCTCGGGCAGCGGCCAGGCGGCGACAGTGGCGGCCCCGCGCGCGCGCTCGCCGAGCCTCGGCGGCGGAGTTTATGGCCGCCCCCGCTCGCACCGCCGCAGTGCACCGCGATGGGGGTGGGGACGGCCCGGAGCCCGGCGCCGAGCGCGGCCCGCCGGGCGCCGCCCCTCCGCGCCGCGGGCCCCGCCGCGCCGCCCCCCAGCAGCCCGCGGAGGAGGGGGCCGGGACCCCCGCGCTCGCACTCCCGGGAGCGCCCGCGGAGCTCGGGAAGCCGGCCGCGCGCCGCCCCCGCCCCCGGCCGCGGGAGGGCGGGGGAGGGCCCGGCGCGAGCCGGCCGGGGAGTGCGCGGGGCGCGAGCTCCGGGCTCGCGGGCGGAGCGGGGCGCGGCGCGGCGCGGGGCTGCGGAGCCCGGCCGCACGCCCGCTCCCGATCTCCGCCGCCGGGGCCGCCGTGGGTCCTCCCTCTAGCGCTAAGAGCCGCGGCCCTAGCCCGCGCCTAAGAGCCCGATTCTAAAAGGGAAAACGGCTGGTGCTCCGCCCGGCTTCCCGGGCCGGAGCTTTTGTTCGGGAAGGAATGCCAGCCGCTGTATCCCGGTCCCCACCTCCCGGGCCGAGCGGGATGGGAGCGAGGCTTGGAGAGGCTCCGGAGGCGGCCTGGGTCCTGCGCTCGGTTCCCTGCTCCCTCCCCATCCAGAAGCGGCGAGCTCTTGAGCGGGAAGTGGTGCCGCCGCCATTGTCGCGGCGGCCCCGGGGTCGGGGAGGCGGCCGGCTGGTCGCCGCGGCTTCTGTAGGTTCGCCTTAGCGGGGCCCCCCGCGCCGGCGCTTTGGAGAAACGACATGCAGGGGCAGCTTCGTCCAGGAGGTGTGGTTGGGGCGGCATCTTGCCCTCCACCTGTAGGGATACTGGCAACGGGGATCTTCCCTTTTGACTCACCTGAACTTAGCAATGGGAACATCTCAACAGAGGGGGGAAAAATGGAGATCTGGAGAGAGAGTGGGGCCAAATAACACATAGGCTTAAAAAAAAATCCAAGCACCTTGCCATGGGTACTGTACGCCTCTCCTGTGCCAGGTCCATGCACCTTTATCCCACAAGCTCCAGAGAGATGGCTACATGCTGGGGTGCACCCTTAGAAATTATTCTGCCCAGTCCTCGCACTTGGCAAATAAGAAAACAGCCTGCCACTTTAGGCAGCTTAATGATGTTTTTGCTTTTCTGTAGACGGTTTTCAGGACTCTGGTTCTGCCACACTCAAGTTTGTGTGATCACGGTTCAGTAGAGAAGGCTTGATGTTTTTCAGGATGTTGGTCTGCAAAATGGAGTTTAAACTGGAAAAAATCTAGACTCCTTTGAGCTTCCCTGTAGGGATAGAGGCAGACACACCTGGAGTTCTCTAATGCAAGCTTCAAGACCAGAGTGATTTAAGTAACTATACTACATCATACAGAAGAGTGGATAGAAGTAAACCGCTACTGTTCTCTCTCTCTCACTGTTAACTGTTGAGTATATGTACTTTTCTTAACTTTGTCTATATATATCGATGTAAAAAATATATAGTCTATGTTTATATAAGCCAAGTAGAAAAAAATGTGGAAGGCTGTGAATCCAGCAGGAAATGGTAGGGGAACGAGGTACTTACCAGCTTTTACTCTATCTGTGCAGCAATAAAAATCCTTGCAAATACAGAGGGAGGCTTTGTGGGGGGAATCCCTTAGTGGTTCCCCAGCTCCTTCCCATTCCTGTCACACACCCCCTCCAGGCTGCTAGTGCTCCAGCCCTTACCTTTTCTCCTTCATATCTGTTCAGAGTTGAACCCGACGCTGCCAGCCACCCTCCTCTTTGTTCCCAACCTGAAAATGGGTACAGGTGCCAGTGACAGGACAAAAAAGGAAAGTTTCTTTTTAAAAATCAATTTTTGAAAACATTCTTGTTTACAACTGGGGGTAGGGAAAGAGCCAACTTTACTCTTCTATGTCCTTTTCTCTTGTAGGACTGGCGTGCCCCTGATCAGAGTTATTCTGATCCGAAGATTTTGGTGTTTAAAGCGTTAAGATAATAGCCTGAGTTGTTCATGGTAACTATGACTTTGCATATTAAGTCTTTAGAATATTATTGGTGTCAGCTTTAAAATGTCTCTCAGTTATGTATTAGCATTCTTTAGGGGACTAGGTATTTTCCTCATACTTATGCTTGGTCGAATAAAAGAAAAACAAGGTTTTTGAAAAGAAATACACAGGATACATTATTTTAAAAAAAGATCACTTCTTTAACACGTGGCAGATGTCTTCCCTGCCAGTTCTACATATCATTTGCTCATAAAACCCCTGCCGCACTTGTCACGTGCATCCAGTTCTGATGACACTTTGATCCGGATGACAGATAGACTGGCATCCAAGGGGGAATGAAGCTGCTTGTCACTGTCTTCCCAAATGTCATCTGATTCTCTGAGGGTCCTATTAAACTTTGCCCCTTGTTCAGAAGTAGCTCAACACTGGTGTGAAAAAACCAGAGGATAACTCTGAATGGAGTGTTCTGGAAATGATTACCCTCTCTGGGTCTGCAGGAGTGATCTGTCTCTTCCGTCAAGGAAACAGAACCTTGAGAGCTGCTAGTTATTTTACTGAATTTTCCTCAGCATGGAATTAGACATAGCAGACGGCACTGGCGGATGCTTGCCAGAGACGGTTTCTTAAACCTTGAAGCTGAGTTGTCATTATTACCTCTAGTTATCAGGAAGCACTGGTTTTGGAGCTAGAGTGCCTGGATTTGCTAGAGCTAGAGCCCTGATGGTCCACTAAATAGTTAGAATATCGGGCAGGTTCCTCAATTCATCCATAAAGTAGGGTAATAACAATGCCTATCTCTCAAGGTCATTTGATCACTGCCTTTGTGAAGACATGAAAAGTGCATAGCACAATGCCAGGCACGTATTGTGCACTCAGTAGGAGTTGTTGTTATTATGAGTAAGCATACGCTGAGTACAGTGAAGATAAGTAGAAGGAACAGTGTGGAAATCTCTAAATTTGGATCTGTCTTTTCTCCTCCTGTTCTTGAACCCCTCCTGACAGTGACTTTTCTGAAATTGTTAGGAACCAGAAAGTGGTCAGAAAATGAAAATCTCCCTGAAATTCTTATAAAAAGTACTGTTCATAATTACCAAAATTCTTTTTCTTTGTAAACATTTTCTTGTAGGAGTTTTTCATCAGTATGTCTGAAACCATTAAATATAATGACGATGATCATAAAACTCTGTTTCTGAAAACACTCAACGAGCAACGCTTGGAAGGAGAATTTTGCGACATCGCGATTGTGGTCGAGGATGTGAAGTTCAGAGCGCACAGGTGTGTCCTCGCTGCCTGCAGCACCTACTTTAAAAAGCTTTTCAAGAAACTTGAGGTAGATAGTTCCTCAGTAATAGAAATAGATTTCCTCCGTTCTGATATATTTGAAGAGGTCCTGAATTACATGTACACGGCAAAGATCTCCGTGAAAAAAGAAGATGTTAACTTAATGATGTCATCCGGTCAGATTCTCGGCATCCGATTCCTGGATAAACTCTGCTCTCAGAAGCGGGACGTGTCCAGCCCGGACGAAAACAACGGTCAGTCGAAAAGCAAGTACTGCCTGAAGATCAACCGCCCCATTGGGGATGCTGCCGACCCTCAGGACGATGACGTGGAGGAAATCGGAGACCAGGACGACAGCCCCTCGGATGACACGGTAGAAGGCACCCCCCCGAGTCAGGAGGACGGCAAATCGCCCACCACGACGCTTAGGGTGCAGGAGGCCATCCTGAAAGAGCTGGGCAGTGAGGAGGTGCGGAAGGTCAATTGCTACGGCCAGGAGGTGGAGTCCATGGAGACCCCCGAGTCCAAGGACCTGGGGTCCCAGACCCCTCAGGCCTTAACATTTAACGACGGGATGAGCGAAGTGAAGGATGAGCAGACCCCAGGCTGGACCACGGCGGCCAGCGACATGAAGTTCGAGTACCTGTTGTACGGGCACCATCGGGAGCAGATCGCCTGCCAGGCGTGCGGGAAGACGTTTTCGGACGAGGGTCGGCTGAGGAAGCACGAGAAGCTGCACACGGCTGACCGGCCCTTCGTGTGCGAGATGTGCACCAAGGGCTTCACCACGCAGGCGCATCTGAAGGAGCACCTGAAGATCCACACGGGCTACAAGCCCTACAGCTGCGAGGTGTGCGGCAAGTCGTTCATCCGCGCCCCGGACTTGAAGAAGCACGAGCGGGTGCACAGCAACGAGCGGCCCTTCGCCTGCCACATGTGCGACAAGGCCTTCAAGCACAAGTCCCACCTCAAGGACCACGAGCGCCGTCACCGCGGCGAGAAGCCCTTCGTGTGCGGCTCCTGCACCAAGGCCTTCGCCAAGGCGTCCGACCTGAAGCGGCACGAGAACAACATGCACAGCGAACGCAAGCAGGTCACCCCCAGCGCCATGCAGAGTGAGACCGAGCAGCTGCAAGCGGCGGCCATGGCCGCGGAGGCCGAGCAGCAGCTGGAGACCATCGCCTGCAGCTAGAGGCGGGGGGCCGGGATGCTCAGCACCCTTTATCCGCAGCCCGCATCCCGACCCATGAACACCAGCCTCCACGTTTCGGTGAAAACTTACCAAGAACTTGTACTCGCTGGACATAAGGCAGTGCTTGGTTGGGTGTTTTGAAAACTTTGCAAGGAAATAACCGTCCCTTGGTTCTGACCAAACTGTTTCACTGTCCCGTCTGGTGTCTTGTGTTAATGTTGCCAGTAAGCACCCGGCCCCCTCCACCAACCCCCCCCTTTTTTTTTATGATTTCTGATTTTAATTTGAGAACTCCTGGGCCCAGTTCAGAAGTGAGAGACTTCTGTCCGTTTTCAAAAGTTCCCCTCTCTGCCTGCTGCGCCAGGGAGTGCACCGCACAGAGTGATAATTGAGTGGATTGATTTCCTGACCATCACCATTCTGTGTGACTTATGGGTCACGGCGACATTTTTAAGAACTTTAGTAAAAGTACTTTGTGTAGACGCAGGAAATACGGGTGGGTGGTTGACCAAGAACCCTGCGTGCACAGATAGGAAAACAAGTTCTGGAAATGCAAAATGGTGTCAGATTTATATATTTGGTTTGTTAATTTTCTATCACTGTTTTTCATGGTTTTTGTGGACAAATAATGGTTGCTTTGCTGAAGTGTTTCTTCATCCTTTTTGATTGCCTGTACCTGCCCCTAAAGATGTCACATGACCAGAAGGCATGTGGGTGGTTTGAGGGCTGAGTTTTTTTTTACTCTTATTTGGGGTATTGCTACTCTGCAGCTGATGGGGTTTGTGGGCTGGATCAGTGGTGACAGGATTAGAAAAGGGAGTGTAGGAACCTGGCTCTCAGAGACAAGATTTGCACATTTGCAGCAAGTCCAAGATTTCCTAGATCAAAATAATTCCTGATTTTGAAATTGGGTTTTTGTTTAGGATCAAAATTAGGACAAGAACAGGTATACTTCTTTGGCTACGTTTGTGTAAATTAAAGAGTGTCATCAAGCTTTTGGGCTCTCGGTAGCACGTGATTATCCATAAAGAAGATTCAGTGTCCTTCCTGAAATCATTATGTTTAAAATCTTTTACCTGTGTAAATAGTACAGAAGCATTGGTCTTACATATCTCAAGTACAAATAGACAGCTGCACTTTTTTTGCACATTGGATTAACGATATCTCCCATCAGCAACAAACATCAGTCTGTTTTCAACCAGTATTAAAGATTGTCAGACCAAATGTTTATGTTCTTGAAGTATATTTCATCACGGGTTACAGTTTTAAGTGGAAGATGATTGCCTTTTCATAGCCGTAAACTGAATTATAAGTGCTGTTCCAATTCTGGTGTACGAAATTTCTTTTTAAACATTTCTTTAGGAATACATTGAAATACCAACAATAGTTTGAATTATGTTCTGTAATAAAGAATTAGTTCTTTTAGAATGTACCATTTTCAAAAAAATGTCGATTTTTAAAATGTATTTTTGGTTGCTAGGATTTTTTTTTTTCTTAACACATTAAAGTAATTTCATTTCCTAGCTCGTTGCATTAACACCTGTAATTATTATTATTGTGAGAGAAAGTTTATTTTTTGTATATGTTATGCCCATAATTGTAGGATGAAGATGTTACCTTTTTAAGAAACTTATTTATTGGTAAATGTTTTAGTTTAAAACTAATTTAATTTCTTTTCTTAAATGTTGTTTATTTTCTCCTGAAAGCAGTCCTGTTGCTGTGTTTATATGCTCTTCGTAGAAGGGGAACTGATTGCCGTTCCTAGACTGTTTTAACCAAAGCAAAGGAAAAGTAATTTAACATCTTGTGGATGGCTACTTCAGCAAATCATACCTGGGGCCTTCATTTTTGTATATAAAAGAAAATATACTTCTGTCATTCCTGTTTTCGTTTTTTCCTAGCAGCCTGTCACACACCCAGGTTTCTACCCAAGTGCATTTTCTATACTATCTTCATCTTGGTTATACAGAGTTGCAAGTTGCCCATGTGGCATTAACCTTCACTGAAACCACATAATCACAGTGGTATCCCCAAAAGAAAGGTTTTTCAGCACTTTATTTGCATCGTGTAAATATGTGTCGTTGGTCCTATTTTGCATGAGAAATATATTTGTGTTGTCATTTCCACCGCCGATGCTGGGTTCATCTGTGTTTAGGGTGCATGTTATTGTGTCCTGGGCAGCGAGGTTGTGACATGGCAGCTCTCCTGCCTCCTGGTCCTGAAGCCTGCCTCTCTCCCACCTCGCTGGCTGTAGTGTCCCGGGGATGATGAAACCCTCGTGTCCAGCAGTGGGGTGCCTCCCTCCACAGCGAGTTAACTTCTGAAACATGCTTACACTGAATCTGCCTTGTGAGAAGGAAGGAAATGCCAGTGTCAACATTACTACTTTGTTTTTCCATGGATTAGAATGAAAATATAATATTTTTTAAAGATATGTTTTAATCCTTTGAAGTGCTCATGCTCGCTTTGCTACCCCACCAGGCTCCTCTATCCATGGGATTTCCCAGGCAAGAATACTGGGTGGGTTGTCATTGCCTCCTCCAGGGGATCTTCCCAACCCAGGGATCGAACATGCATCTCCTTTGTCTTCTGCATTGCAGGTGGACTATTTACCAGCTAAGGCATCAAGGAAGCCCTTTGAAGTTCTAACTATCATTAAAGGATCACTTTTTATTTATTTATTTTTAAAGCCCACAAAGCATCCAAGTGTCTGCCCAGTTCTAGCCTGGCAACTCAGAATTGGAGCCGCATTCGGGGTACATTCCTGGTGGTTTTTCTGATGGCCCCTAGCATTGGGTGGGTATGCTGCTGCCTTACAGCTGTATCAGATGTCATTTAATTTAAAAAAATGCTGTTTGTCGTTTTGGTTGCCCTCTGAGGTTTGGTGCCTTTTAGCAAGGTGTAAAATGGGACTGTTTGGCTAGACTGAGAGCTTGGGACACCATTGATCTGAGATGGTCCCTACTGATAGGTGTGCAGAATGTAAAATGAAGATACCAGCTTCCCATGCACATTGTTGGGGAGACACATGTTATAGGATTATGTCCCATGGGGGAACTCCCATGGAACTGATGCCAGGGAGATCAGTCGAGATGGGGGTCCTTGGCTTCCTATGGCTGGTGGAATTCACTCTTTGACTCCTGTGATCAGGGTCGCCAGTCTGAAAGCGGGCTGTTTTGTGTTCACTGTAGCTTACTGACAAACAGTCCTGCTGGGCAGTAAATACGGTAAGACTGTTACCGTGCTGATGTGACGGCTTCCTTCTTTCATTTTGGGGCATGATAAGTATCAGTTCCTGAGTCTACCTTTCACTTGTGGAGCAGGTGCAGGGTTCTCTGTCCACTGCTAGAACTACTTTTTCGTTACATGAAAACCACCTACTTTTTTTTTTCTATTTGCTCAAAGAGAATGTCTGCAAACATTGATGGTAGCTTGATGGTAGCTTTTATGCCAACTTGCATGGCTTCGGCAATGATTGAGGAAGGGAATTTTAGACAGTCTAAAATGCAGGTACTTCCTTCTCTTGATCACAAATTTAGAATTGTTAGAAATCACAGAGGTCACTATCAAGTCAGGCTGATAGTAACAAATTCCTCCTATTCTGTTGGGGGGTGGGTGGTGTTTATGATGAGAGAGTGATTCTGGTTGATGTAGTTTCCAACTTCATGGATTATGTTGTGTAAGGTTATCTATAACTTAGTCATTGTGTGTGTATGCTCAGTCAAGCCAACTCCATGGACTGTAGCTCGCCAGACTTCTGAGTCCATGGAATTCTCCAGGCAAGAATACTGGAGTAGGTTGCTGTGCCCTCCTCCAGGGGATCTTCCTGACTCAGGGATTGAACCAGTGTCTCCTGTGTTAGGTCAGTTCTTTACGCTGAGCCACTGGGGAAGCCCAACCTAGTCTTTGTGTGCTGTGCTGAGTTGCTCAGTTGTGTCCGACTCTTTGCAACCCCATGGACTGTGGCCCTCCAGGCTCCTTTATCCATGGGGATTCTCCAGGCAAGAATATGAGAGTGGATTGCCATTCCCTCCTCCAGGAACTTGAGTCTGGGAACCTGGAATTTTCCCAAGTAGTTGTGTTAGTGGTGATTAGTTCCCCCGGCAGATGTAAAAGCCTTTCGTGTAAGTGGAAATGAACTAGTTTAACAGAACTTCTGGTCTTGAATTCTGAGTTAGGAGATGAGGAAAAACGGAGAACAACTCTCAGGTTCCTCTCTGCCCTTCACCTTGAGCATTTGCCTGCCTCTCTCTCTCATTCAGCTCCCCACCCCCACCAAATGTAGGGGAAACAAGACATCGAACTGCAGGCAGAGTGACTGCTGAAAACCATTCCAGGGACAGACGAGGGCCTAAATGTATTCCCTCCTTCCTTCTAATCCTCCACTGAAGCCTGTGAGCACTGGAAATAAGTGGTAGGGATTCCCTGTCCCCTTGGTGAACACCCATTCCTTTCCTGGGACCTCTCACTGCTCCTTGTGCCTTTCTGTATCCATTTTTTGCCTACCTCCTTGAACCTTCTACCTATTGGAACTGTTCAAAATTGGTTTAACCCTGGTTGACAAAGCTTTAGGTACGTGAAGATAAGTGTGTGTGAATAGTTGTGTCCGACTCTTTGTGACCTGTGCGAGGCTCCTCTGTCCATGGGATTCTCCAGGCAAGAATACTGGAGAGGGTAGCCATTCCCTTCTCCAGGGCATCTTCCTGACCTGGGGATCAAACCCAGGTCTCCTGTATTGCAGGCAGATTCTTTACCACCTGAGCCACCAGGGAAGCCCATGGAGAAAATAGCATGTCCTTAATTCACTGTGTATTAAGCATTGTGTGAGGCCAAGGGCTGAACCCTGAAATACAAAGGAAGATTTGGACCCTGGCTAGTAGGGTAGTCCTTTCCCAGTCTTGTCTTCAGCAGTCTTTTAAAAAATGAAGATGGTGTTTGCCTCTTGATTCCTTAAAGGTCACCATACTGATCTTATCTCGGGGGTCCTGGGTGTGATTTAT